AGTGAAAGCAGGTACCACCACAGTCAGTATGCACTGCTGTAATCATAGCAGGTACCACCGCAGTCGGTATGCACTGCTGTAAACATAGCTGGTACCACCGCAGTGGGTATCCACTGCTGTAGTGGAAGCGGGTACCACCCAAGTCAGTATGCACTGCTGTGGTGATAGCAGGAACCACCACAGTCGGTATGCAATGCTGTAGTTAAAGCAGGTACCACCACAGTCAGTATGCACTGCTGTAATCATAGCAGGTGCAACCACAGTCAGCATGCACTGCTGTAGTGAAAGCAGGTAACACCAAAGTGAGTATGCACTGCTGTAGTGATTGCAGGAACCACCACAGTCGGTATGCACTGCTGTAGTCATTGCAGGTATCAACACAGTCAGTATGCACTGCTGTAGTGAAAGCAGGCACCACCAAAGTCGTTATGCACTGCTGTAATGATAGCAGGATCCACTACAGTCGGTATGCAATGCTGTCGTTAAAGTAGGTACCACCAAATTCGGTATGCACTGCTGTAGTCACAGCAGGTACCAATACAGTCAGTATGCACTGCTGTAGCGACAGCAGGTACCACCACAGTGAGTATGCACTGCTGTAGTCATAGCAGGATACCACCACAGTCAGGATGCACTGCTGTCGTGAAAGCAGGTACTACAACAGTGGATATGCACTGCTGTAGTTAAAGAATGTACCACCACAGTCAGTATGCACTGCTGTAGTGAAAGCAGGTACCACCAAAGTCGGTAAGCACTGCTCACATGTCCTTTGGATTGCACTCTCATGCTCACATGTCCTTTGAATTCCGCTCACATGTCCTTTGGATTGCACTCTCATGCTCACATGCCCTAAAGTCCATCTTTCACAATCGCTGGCCCCACCCTCTTGCCCGATACGGCAACCCCCCCTCTGCCCTCCCCCCCCTCTCAGGTCAATATAATGCCTCGTCTACAGCAGTCTGCACCTGAAGACGGTCGCTTGTTGTTGCGATCAAAACATCGTGATCTATTCTTTTTTCTACTTACGTGACTTTACCGAAAGAACCAAAAAGGATGGATTCCTGCAGTCATGAAAGCTTCAAACCAAGATTGGACCGTCTCTACGCGGAGGGTTTCCACACAACTATTAGATCTTTTAACAGACTGCCATACAAGAAGGCCCATTTGATTGTGTCGCTCATCTTTCTGAAGAGATGCCGCGATACCAAGGTAATACTAATCACCTTTACATTCACATATGCTGCTGTCTCTTCCCCTAACTCTAAACGGATCTTGTTTAGGGCCAGCCGAGGTCTAATCTCAGAGAGAATAAGATTGCTCCGATTTGAACTTGATAATTTAGACAAGACTTTCTTACAATCACACTTAGAATTAGCAGACCATGTAGATAACATGACAGTTTCTTCTCCTACTTAAATGTCAACCAAATCTAAAGTTAACTTAATCGCTAAATTCAACCTCCTGTCAAAAAATAAGCCAGAGCCACACGTTAAAAAATTAGATGTCATCAATCATAGTAACATCCCAATTTTTGACAGCCTTAAATCGGCACTAGCTAAAGGGTTGAATTTCGCAGTCACCCCTAAACAAATCCCAGTGGATGATATAATTGCCCAGGTCGACGGAGCCCTCAATGGCTTGGACACATCCCAGCAGACGTTGCTAGATCTGAATTCACTGCTTTCCTCAAAAACGCAAATAAACCCATTAGCAACATCAGCAAGGACGAGCGTTTTGAACTCTCTAAACTAAAAAACAGAGATTACATTGTCATCCTCTCAGCCGACAAGGGCAATGCCACTGTCATCATGGATAAAACCACTTACAACAACAAAATTCAGGACCTTCTTAATGATGGCAGCTATACCAAAATCAACAGAGATCCCACCAACCGCCTAGCTACAAAAACCAACAATATCATCACAAAAATCGACTTCTATAATCGATCAGACCAAGCAGAGATCCCTAAAACCTTCGGCTGCTAGATCACCCAGATTATATGGCCTTTCAAAAATCCACAAAGTAGGTACCCCGCTCTGTCCTATCATCTCCACCATTAACTCACCCACCTACAAACTGGCCCAATTTCTTTCTGAGAGCCTGCTTCCTTTCACGGGCAAGTCCACCTCAGCTGTACTTAACTCAGCTCACTTGGTTTCTCTAATCAAGGACATCTCACTGTGTCCAGATTATTTGCTTGTCAGTTTCGATGTAGTCTCTCTGTTCACCAATGTACTTGTACCTGACACCATTGCAATCATTGAAGACTTGGTCCAACAAGGACTGAATCCAGATGTACCAACTTTGGTAAGGTACTGCCTTACCAACACGTACTTCATCTGGAATGGTACATTCTACAAACAAAATGAGGGTACCTCAATGGGTTCTGCCTTATCGCCAGTGATAGCGAATTTTTCATGGAGAAATTTGAGACAGATGCCATCCAGACATCTGCCCTACGTCCTTCCTTGTGGAAGAGATACGTAGATGACACATTCGCCATCTGGCCACATGGACTGCCAGCACTGAACCAATTTCTCAACCACATCAATTCCATACACCCGTCTATCAAATTCACGATGGAAGTGGAAAAGGATGGCAAGCTACCATTCCTGGATGTTTTGATCGAGAAGAGACCTGATGGCTCATTGTGACACTGTCTACAGGAAAGCCACGCACACGGATGCCTATCTAAAGCATGATTCCCACCACCATCCAGCCAAGAAGAATTCCCTCATAAAATCACTACACCATAGGGCCCGTTGCATCTCTGATCAGCACCACCTAGCCAGTGAGTTGGAGCACGTACACCAAGCCTTCAGGATAAATGGATACTCAGACCGTACAATTCGCAAAGCTGTCTCCCCAGCCATGGGGAGACAACCTTCTGAGGATCCAACCAAAACCATCAATTTACCATACATAGCAGGGGTTACCAAAAAGATTTCCAAAATCTTAAACAAACACAAGATCCAGGTTAGTTTAAACACAGTACACAAAATCCGTGATTTGATCCCATCTGTAAAGGATGTGATTCCTGACATGCAATACCCTGGTGTCTACAAACTGAATTGTGGTTGCGGCAGCAGTTAGATTGGGGAAACGAAACGACATGTCTCGGACCGCGTTCGTGAACACAAGGCAGATCTGAAACACGGTAGGACCAATACCTCTGCCGTGGCTGATCATTGTTTTAATGCTGTGGGCTCACACGAAAATGATTTTTCCAAGACGGAAGTACTCTGCAAATCTACCGGCTACCTTCAGAGAAATGTTCATGAAGCCATCCAGATACATAAACACAGACACAACTTCAACCGAGAGGATGGGTACAGACTGAGCAATCATTGGAAGGACGTTATTAACCAGGTAAAGTCTTAACTGACTGTGATGTTTCCATACAACCTGCCTATGTCAGCTGTTACTTCGATTCTCTGTGTCTTTCTCTATATGCCTCTCTCTTAGATCTCTCATGCTCACATGTCCTTTGCATTGCACTCTCATGCCTTTGGATTGCACTCTCATGCTCACATGTCTTTTGGATTGCACTCTCATACTCAAAGGCCCTTTGGATTACACTCATTGGGTTGCACTCCCTCGTCGAGGAGGCCGCTCTTCTCCTTCTTTTCTACAGTTACATGCTAATTTCTCACATTAACATCATGCTAATCCCTCACAATAACATAGCCACTTCTGTGCCCTCGAATTTCTCACATTAACATTATGCTAATCCCTCACATTAACAAAGCCACTTCCATGCCCTCGTCTAGGTGGCCGGTCTCCTGGCTTACTTTTACATGCTAACGTCTCACATTAACATCACGCTATTCCCTCACATTAACATAGCCACTTCCGTGCCCGCTCTCCTATCTTACAGTTACATGCTAATTTCTCACATTAACATCACTAGCCCCAGCCATTTCTTTATAACCCTTGAGCAATACCCATTTCAAACCTTTTAAAACAGTCTGCTTTAGCAGCAGACCATGCTTTCCCACCTGATGATGGACGCTTGTGTTGCGCCCGAAATGTCGTGATTTATTTTATTTTATACCTGCGTGACTTTACCGAAAGAACCAAAGAGTATGGATTCCTGCAGTCACGAAAGCTTCAAATCAAGAAAAAACACACTGATAATATATGCATTGTCCTTGAAACTGATTGGTCCATACCAGAGACGACTTTCTTTTGAGCCTCGTCTCAATTGGTGCTAGACCAGAGGACGCCAAAAGGCGTACAGCTCAAAGACAATGCACTAACAAAGTAATGAGGGCTCGGGGTAAGCATCTACATCATTAGACCTCCTTTGCCAGTACCAAAATATAATAGGGGTTTTTCGCTTTTTTCTGCTGGACAGCAGTTGGCGCTGTGTCACTACAAATTCATATAAATTACAATGTGTATCCATTGCTGGTTGGGTTATTCAAGGGTTATTCAAGCCTCATTCCCTGCTCCTGGTGCAGGTGCAAGATAGTGACTTCTAAAAGCCAACCTGACAGCCATGAACTTCAGGTGGTTTAAAAATAAATCATAGCACATAGCAATCATTTTTGTCAATTATCCTTATTCTCCATCAGCTTGTTCTTGTCCACCGGCTCACCAATTTTCCCATCAACCAATCTGCTTGTCCGCCTATGTCCTTGCAAATGTGTCCTTGCAAGTGTGTATGCATGCACGTGTGGGGAGTGGTAAAATAGCGCTGAGCGCACTGCACTATGAACCCAGACTACCTGGGTTCCATTTCCGGCCATGTCTAAATCAGTGGCGAGTGATATCAGAACTGGTTCTGGGCTTCCCCTTAAGTCCCTGGTGTAGTGTGTCACAATCAGAACTGGAGAGACAAAGGCGGTCGTGCTTGGTGCTGGGTACAGCACCCCCCGGTATGTCGTGCCAGCCTTCAGAGTTGCTCACTGTCTGCTATTGCCCTAAGAGTCTATAGGGTTATGGGGGGGGGGGGGTTGTCTTTTAAGCATGCGATTGTGTATATGCATGTTACTCACAGCACTGAAGTTGGGGAAGAGGCCCACGGTGCCTGTGGCACCAATAGGGAAGGACACAAAGGGCTTCCCATCCATGTCTGCCGGAGACGCGATCTGAGCTGGCGCGGCTTGGCACAGATGCTCGTCCAGGCACGATGGGACACAGCTGCCGCCGGGGCTGCCCTCGTCACCTTTACAATGAAGACACACATAGATACAGAGTCAGTTCGCAAGAGAAGGGGTCTCCTCCCCTGAAACAACATTTGAATTAGCGCTCATTCAAAATGAAAAGTCAAAATGATTTCCTGCTAAAATGACCATTGAGGTGGCAATCATACACTGTTTACAACCCTGAGCCAGTTGTGAAAATACCACAATCTTACGGACGGGGAGAGTCCATCCGTAGGACAACTACTGTTGACTTCTTCAAAAAGTACTTCCCAGTATAATCTGTTTATTAACCATCAGATCAAGGTGTTTAGACACACTTTTTCTGACAATCTACTGCATTACCAATGACATTGAACTTAATTCTGATCAATTTTCAAAATGACAAAATCACCCATGTAATACGGAGTAAGGAATTGAATTAGCAATTAACCACACCCCCAAATAATTACATTAATGAATATAAATCACAGCTCTTCACAGAATCTTTAATTTCTGCCTTTCCCCCCATTACATTAATGCTACATCCCTCGCTAAAATAAATTTATATTTATTTAATCGACGTGCATTATCTACACATTCATGCCGTGAAACTAGCCAAGTTGATAAAGCTTAGGAGAGCAGTTTGGAAAACAGGGAAGATATTGACAAAAAGCCCTTTTTCCACACAAAAATTACGTCTCACTGAAACAGCGTATTATCTGCCGAAGGCTTGATGATGAAAACATGATCTAGCACGTACTGCGGCAGCTCTGGAATTTCTAAAATTGTATTCTACAATTTCGGCAAGCACATGCAGCTTATTTGATCCAATTCTGGTTTGGTTAATTCTCAGAAATAATTGTCCACTGCTATTTTAAGCGTTGACTCGGAACATGAAAACATTTATTAAATGCGCAATTTTAACATTGGTGGATGTTTTCCATTTATATTGTATCGAGCGTGGAAATATTGTAATTAATTCAAAAGCTTTATCACCCCTAGTGGTAAAACATATATACGAATAATAATGAAATATGATTATTAAAATCTATTCCAACAAGAAAACTTCAGACAATGTCAAGGTGACACTTTCCATGTGACTAATCCGATTTTGCAAACAGCATTATTTTTCGATATTTATAACTCTCTATAACAAAACAATTCCCTTTTTACACCAAAGCTTAAGATATAGTATTAGTGTAATTTGAATTTGTTTTAAATAGATACACTAGATATATTGGTTAAATTTCAAATATGGACAGTTCAGTCACCTAAAATCAGGTGTGTGCCATCGAAAGGTCACCAAAAAAGTACATGGAGTATATATTGGTTAAATTTCTAAATATGGACAGTTCAGTCACCTAAAATCAGGTGTGTGCCATCGAAAGGTCACCAAAAAAGTACGCGGAGTATAAAGGGATGTCTATGACACACTTAACCATCATGCTGTACGTTATTTACTGCCGTTCCACATACATGTAATGCTCCTAATAGGACACATTCCGTCACAATTCATGCGGTCAATACCAGGTGCAGCCGTACCAGAGTGCATAAACCAAAAACATCCTTACCCCTCTCTGATGGATGCTTAAAAACACTTCCCTTTGAAGAGGATTACAAATCCCACTGGCAAGCGCTAGCGGAAAGCCGATGATTCCTTGACAACAAAAAAAGCAGTGTCCACCGCTCCCTCTGCTGCACGAGACTCCACTTCACGGAATTCCAGATTGCAAGACCCAGAGCGGCCGGGATGGGATAACCGTCTCCTGCGTGATCTGATGTGAGAGCCGCACGCACACGCATCCATGCACGCCACGACTACTAGAATTCTAGACGCCCAATCAGAGTGCTGTCACTGCTGCCCACTGCAAGAGCGCCTTTTCCAATCGTGGCGCAGCGACTGGTCCGATCGGCAAGCCCCGCATTCCACCCACGAGCCCGCATGACAAGCCGGCGTGTGGTGAGGGGTGGGGGGTGAGGAGGAGGAGGAGGAGTAGGTGGGGATGAGTCGCGTTGGGGTAAAGCTGCTTGTCCATCCAATGCAGACAGTCCCTGAGCCCAAAATGAGGCGTAGCTTTCCCCCTGTTTCATCCACCAGGTTCTATTTTGAGATTTAATCCACAAGCACTGTATTGAAATCACGGTTAATCGAGTATTATAATATTAACACTGCAATCAATTGATATGGGGATAACTACTGAATACAAATCTGTCGATCATGATTGTGTCCATGTCATTACCTTTACACGTGTGATTGTTATTGGCATTTTTTTTGGAACATGTACATATGCGTACATATACGTGTACATTATTTTTCAGTCCACTGCTGGATGATCGCTTCACCACACTATGTGGGTTGTCGGGTTATTTGACCATACTTCACCACGCTGGTCAGTGTGGGTTGTTGAAAGCAGGGATCATTGAAGTAGGATCATTGAAATTACAGCTCAACAATATAATTTACTGCACTGCCTTCTACTGCCCACCATAGTCTTCCAGCATCCTATGCCAACCTGTTCTAGTGCGCGGCGGTTACCAATCCATAAATAATATACATATGTAACGACTGCAGAGGACACGTGTCTTGTGATGGTCTTTATTGAAGGCACGAACAATTGAACAGGCGAAGACCCCAACTTCAGCAGCCCTCGAGCCTCTTGTCTCGACCCTTTTATCCTATGCGTTGCCACGCTAGGATCGTCTCGATAGCTCTCGATCCCCGATCAACACCTGTTCCCTTCTGTCACTTGGCCACAGCCCTATTCTCGATCTTTCCCGCAGACCCCAGATCGTTCACCCTGTCCGTCAACTAACCTGTCATTACCCCCTGTGGCCGCTAGTTCCCTGTACTGTCTTTACACATGTAATTGAGTAGATTTTACATAGAATGCATATAAAAAAAGACTGAGTCTGACCTCAAACTCACTATCAATACAAACTTTAAACTATCACAAGGTTTGTTTTGTTCCAAAATATGACCATATGAACAACCAAACAGCCTCAATGCTTTTCAATTGCTTAAAGCAGAACATGTGTTTAAAACACGTTCAATAATTTAAATAAACATTTAATATCAATGACATGAATACATTTCAAACTGTGAAGAACAAGCTTCCCCGAAACTGAAAATGAACGAAAAGTGCTGCCAGACTCTTCCAGGAAGACCATCGGAAAATTGAACAGACGTGAAACAAGCCAAACATATTCTCTTTGTGCATGCACAAGAAACGCTTTCAAATGTGAATGTTAAATGTTTCACCGAGTCTGTCAAAAAACCTGATATTTTACATTTGACGCTGACATCAGGCTAGTACTGTAATTAGTTTTTCAATTAAATATAACTAAATAACGAACAACCCTTTCTGAGTTTGTTGCTTAATGGAGACATCAAATTGTATCAGCAAACGGAGTTGTATGACCATACTTCATCGTTCTGGTCAGTGCAAATTATATTTAAAAGTTTCCAGAAGCAGTTTAGATACCACATGCCTCTAAGAATTGAAATCAACTCTGGGTTCACAATGCACTGTTCTAGCCACTGCACCCCTACTACGCCCACTAGTGTCACACGTTTGGGAATATACGATGCTAAGAAGTCCTGCCCTTACAACCCTTAAGGATTTAAAACACACGACCGCGAAGACTGATCAAAGAGTTATATCAGGGAACAGACGACTTCGTAACGGCGACGGTAAACGTCATGTCTCATTTCTACAATGAGCAAAGGGGCAGCGCTCATATCCATTGAGAGCTCTATCGCACTTGATAAAGTCTCCTGCCAGGGAATTAATTCTCACAAGAAGGCGGCAGATAAAAAAGTGTGGGTGTTGTTTTGCTCAGAGACATAATTCTTAGACGCCCAGTAAGCGTTTACTTTCACTACAGACAGGACATTCTGATTAAAGAATGACAGAAACAATTTGAACAATGTCCCTTGTGTTATGCTCATTCACAAGCGATGTAAAAACACGTGCGCCGTGCAATCACTGCTAAGGGCATTTTACACAGCTGCAGATACAGTGAGGGAAAAAAGTATTTGATCCCCTGCTGATTTTGTACGTTTGCCCACTGACAAAGAAATGGTCAGTCTATAATTTTAATGGTAGGTTTATTTGAACAGTGAGAGACAATAACAAAAAAATCCAGATAAACGCATGTCAAAAATGTTATGAATTGATTTGCATTTTAATGAGGGAAATAAGTATTTGACCCCCTCTCAATAAGAAAAATTTCTGGCTCCCAGGTGTCTTTTATACAGGTAACGAGCTGAGATTAGGAGCACACTCTTAAAGGGAGTGCTCCTAATCTCAGCTTGTTACCTGTATAAAAGACACCTGTCCACAGAAGCAATCAATCAATCAGATTCCAAACTCTCCACCATGGCCAAGACCAAAGAGCTCTCCAAGGATGTCAGGGACAAGATTGTAGACCTACACAAGGCTGGAATGGGCTACAAGACCATTGCCAAGCAGCTTGGTGAGAAGGTGACAACAGTTGGTGCGATTATTCGCAAATGGAAGAAACACAAAGAACTGTCAATCCCCCTTGGCCTGGGGCTCCATGCAAGATCTTACCTCGTGGAGTTGCAATGATCATGAGAACGGTGAGGAATCAGCCCAGAACTACACGGGAGGATATTGTCAAAGATCTCAAGGCAGCTGGGACCATAGTCACCAACAAAACAATTGGTAACACACTATGCCGTGAAGGACTGAAATCCTGCAGCGCCCGTAAGGTCCCCCTGCTCAAGAAAGCACATATACATGCCCGTCTGAAGTTTGCTAATGAACATCTGAATGATTCAGAGGACAACTGGGTGAAAGTGTTGTGGTCAGATGAGACCAAAATGGAGCTATTTGGCATCAACTCAACTCGCCGTGTTTGGAGGAGGAGGAATGCTGCCTATGACCCCAAGAATACCATCCCCACCGTCAAATATGGAGGTGGAAACATGCTTTGGGGGTGTTTTTCTGCTAAGGGGACAGGACAACTTCACTGCATCAAAGGGACGATGGATGGGGCCATGTACCGTCAAATATTG